TCTGACATCATGTACACGGGCACACATGACGGCTGGAGGAAGACTCTGACATCATGTACCCGGGCATGCTTGATGGCTGGAGGAGGACTGCTGGTGATAAAGAGGCAAAGTTTTTTTCAAGGGTGCATGGTCCAGTGTTCTCAGAGGCATGGGTGGTGCTTTTGTGCTTGTCTTGTATGATGAAATCAAGAAGTACACATAAGTTATTTCCTAGGATTCTTCCCCTGTGAAGCACGTTGTATTATATAACATTTTGAGCATTCTGGACAGACTTCTGGCTGCCAGTTTATCCATGGCAACTATTTACTGATTGAAAATGGGAAGCAGGGCCGGGTGCGGTGGCTCAAGCCTGTAATCCCAGCACTTTGGGAGGCCGAGGCGGGCGGATCACGAGGTCAAGAGATCGAGACCATCCTGGCCAACATGGTGAAACGCCGTCTCTACTAAAAATACAAAAAAAAACTAGCTGGGCGCGGTGGCGTGCACCTGTAGTCCCAGCTACTCGGGAGGCTGAGGCAGGAGAATTGTTTGAACCCAGGAGGCGGAGGTTGCAGTGAGCCGAGATTGTGCCACTGCACTCCAGCCTAGCGCCTGGCAACAGAGTGAGACTCTGTCTCAAAAAAAAAAAAAAAAGAAAATGGGAAGCAATAATATTTGTCTGACCAATTTTCTTTAAAGCCATTTCCATGATGATGATGATGATGATGAGACTCAATTATATATTTGATTTCAGTCACTCCTGATAAATAACAAATTTGGAGAAATAAAAATATCTTTGAAAATATTCAAAGATAGAGGAGAAAGGAGATAAGGAAGGCAGAAAGAAAGGCGGTAATTAAGAAAGGAAAGACCTGGGGGGGAGGGGTTGGCGGAAGGGAGGAGAAGAGAGAGGTCGGGGAGAGGACGACGGGCAGGAGCAAAGGAAGGGAGGGCAGGAGCAAAGTTAGTCGGAGAATTTATCGGAACTTAGGCGTGATTATCTCCTGCCTCTGTAGCTGAGGAGTGGGCATCAAAATGGCAACACTAAACCATCCAAGATCTCCTGAGAAAAACTCCCCAGGGGAGCAGAAGGTCCCATTCTTCACTGTTATCAAACGCGTTGTTTGAGAATGCCCCAGACTGTCTTCTAACGCCCTTTCTTCCCCCGCTCCCCCCTTCCCTGGACGCCATGACAACTGTCACATGACCCTGCAAACAAAGCGTCTCCAGGGCTGCACAGGCCCCAGCTGCTCCTCTCTGGAAGGAGCAGGAGGGCTTTGTTGCTGAGATGCACGGAGCCCCCCGGCTGAACTTTCCCTGTGCCAGTGAGTACCTGTGGCGTACACGGGAGAAGGCCTATGAGGACCACAGGAGGAAGGTAGGAAAGTCCCCAGGCCAGCCCCGACAGCTCAGCGGGCACCCGGCAGTGCCCACAAAATGCCCATGCTTTCCTTGGAGACCTGAAGGTGATTTTCTTTTTGGAGATAGCATGGTTGAAATGGCATTCCCAATAAGATTCATCATCTGTGTTGCCATACAATAAAAATCTCATTAAACAGATGAAGGCTTTCATGTGCCACGTTTTAGGGTCATCCTGCTTCAAATCATGGCATATATTTATGAAGTACTTAATTTTTCCCAAGCGACTTGAAAGCATCTTAAGACAAAAACACCAGAGGCATCCTTTTCTTTACTTTCTTTCTTTCTTTCTTTCTTTCTTTTTTTTTGAGAGGAAGTCTCTCTCTGCCACCCAGGCTGGAGTGCAGTGGCACAATCTCAGCTCACTGCAGCCTCTGCCTTCCAGGTTCCCACAGGGGTGGGGCTCATTTAGCAAGACAGGCCCTGGTGCTACAGGCCCCACTGAGTGAGGAGAAGGCAGCTCCAGCAGAAGGGTGCGGAGCAGCAGGGGCTGGAAGCAGCTCCATGGCGGGGCCCCTCTGACACTCCACAGGTCTCCAGCAGGCACTAAAACTTGCATGAAAACAAAGCCTCTCCCAAATTAAGAGTAGAGAGAGTCTATGCTTTGAATAACTTAGTTTCTTATTGCTTGGCTGAGAATCTCTGAAACTATAAAGACCTTGATAGAATAAGAGGAGAAAAAATAAGATCTGTGGGAGAGCAATGCACCCCAGTCCCCTGATGACTGCCCTCCTGGAATAGGGGTCTCGTCCCCAGCGCAGCCTTCGCCCTCAGGGTCTGAGTGGCTCCTGCCCCCACCGCTCCCCAGCACACCTATAGCCAGGCTGGCCGTGCCCACGAAGTCACCTCCAGTCTTGCACTGGCTGCCACCTCCTGAAACGCCTGTTTCCCCTTCCCTGTGCCAGCTGGGCTTCTCCTTGGATGAGCTTGTTAGTAGACAGGTGCTGCTGAGGAAAGAATCCGTGAGTTTCAGGATATATCAATTAAAACATCTGTCTTCGTCCATTTCTGCTACTAAAACAAGAAAACACAGATTGTCATTTATAAACAGCAGAATTTGCTTCTTACAATTCAGAAGGCTGGAAACCCAGGGCTGAGGCACCAGCAGGTTTGGCATGTGCTGAAGTCACTCTCTGCTTCCAAGACGGCGCCTTGCTGCTGCATCTTCACCTGGCGAAAGGGGCAAGAGGGGTGAATGGCTGTGTCCTTGCATGGCATGAGAGAAGGAAGCCCCAGGCAGCTCTCTGAAGCCTCTCTTATTCATGTATTCACAGGAGCAGAGCCCTCATGACTTAGCTGCTTCCCTAAAGGCCCTACCTCTTATTACCACCACAGTGGGAATTAAGTTTTAACACAAATTATGGAGGGACGTGAACATTCGAGGCATAGCAACCTTCAAAACTGAAAAGCAGGCTGAGCACAGTGGCTCACGCCTGTAATCCCAGCACTTTGGGAGGCCAAGGCGGGAGGATTTCTTGAGCCCAGGAGTTTGAGACTAGCCCTGACAACACAGTGAGGCCTTGTCTCTACAAGAAAATTAAAGTTAGCTGGGCATGGTGGTATACACATGGAGTCCCAGCTACGTGGGAGGCTGAGGCGGGAGGATCACTTGAGCCCAGGAGTTTGAGGCTGCAGTGAGCCACAATCACTCCACTGAATTCCAGACTGGGCAACAAAATGAGATCTTATCTTAGAAAAACCAACCAAACAGCCAAACAAGAAACAAACTAAAAAGCAAAGAGAACGAAGTCTGAATAAAAACAGAAATGAATATCCAAGGACTGTGGGACAATTACAAAGGTGTAGCATACTTGTAATAAGGATACCAGGAGAAGAAAGAGACAAAGGAACAGAAATGTTTGAAACCACAATGAATGAGAATTTCCACCATGTTAATGTCAGACACCAAGCCACAGAGGCAAGAAGTTCAGAGAATGCCAAAAATGATAAATACCCAAAAAATGACACCTAGGTATATCATGTTCAAACTTTAGAAAGTCAAAGATACAGAAAACATCCTGAAAGAAGCCAGAGGAACAAGACTTCAAGAGGGGGCCGAAGATGAGGGTGACATGTGCACCTCCTCCAGCCGGGTGAGCAGGAAAAAGCAGAGGGAGACGTGTGAAGTGCCCAGAGGAAGGGAAGCAAGACCCTAGAGTTCTGCACCCTGAGAAATTATTCATCAGAAGTGAAGAAGAAAGAAAGACTTTCTCAAACAAAAATTGAGGAAATGTGTCAGTTGACCTGCCTTGGAAGAAATAGCAGAAGAAATTTTTCAGATAGAACAAAAATGGTGTAGGTCAGTAACGAATCTACATAGAGAAAGGAAACCATCAGAGCGGGAATAAGCAACAGTGAAATAAAGACTCTTACTTTTATTATTCTTAGTTGACCCAACAGAAAAACGTTTGTTCAAAACCATAATAACAGATGGTATCAGATTGCATGTACTTTCATGTGACTGTCTACCTGTGATATAGGTATATATGCTTATAGATCAACATAAGTGAAATGAATAAGCAGCCACTGCCATTGCACCAGCTGTGGCGGGGGCCGGTATGGGAGGTGGGGGCAGCTGCAGGAGTGGCAGTAGCAGGGTGGGACCCCTGTGCCCCACATCCCCCAGGTAGCCACTGCTGCCCCGACCATTGTACAGCCAGGCAGCACCCGCTCCCAGGCCCAGAGCCTCCACCACTGTGGACCCTGGCCCAGCATTGCTGCTCTTGCCCACCACTGCTGCAGGGAGGGCACAGGACAGAGGTGGGCAGTACCCAGAGCTCACCTCTGGGAGCCCCCAGAACCTGTCACCCTAAGGGCCGCTGTGATGGACCCAGGCCGCGCCGCCTGCTGGTGGGAGAGCAGTGCAGCCGGACACACAGAATTGGGCAGAGAGGGGCCCAGTGAGGAGCTGGAGCCCCCACCCCAGGCTGTAAGGAGGTGCAGTCAAGACTGCACACTCCACGGAGCCTGTGGGAGCCAGGGATGAGCAGGAGCCCCACCCCTTCCGAGTGGGCAGGGCAGGAGCTCCTTGGGTGCAGCTGCAGCCACGTGGCAGTCACTACGGACTCAGTCTTGTGTATGGCTCTGCACTCTCAGGGGCCCAGGAAGGCCCTGTCTCCCCGCAGGTTCAGAAGTGCCTGCTCCCACTGCCTGGCTTCTGGCACTGTTGGTGCCAGCTCCAATCTTGGAGCAAAGCTGGGGCTGAGCCAGGGCACTGTCACAGCCCAGTGCCCTGGGTGTGCCCACACTTAGGGCAGAACTGACATGCCAGCCCCTTGCCACCTTGGCCCCTCCAGACTCTGGGCACTGGCAAGTGCAGGAGGGAGGCTGAGGGACACAGTGAACAGTGTGGTGCTGGCCTGCTGTGCCTCTTGGGTGCCATGAACAGCAACAGGAGGCAGATGGGCTCCTGTGCAGAAGGGGGCAGGTCCCTATTGAAGCCTGACCTTCAACCTGCGGAGGGCCTGAAGCCTGGGGGCCCAGCTGCCAGTCCTGCAAACCAGAGGGGGAACCTGTGGTGCTTTTCCCTGGGCCTGCCCACAGCCACCCGTGGACCAGTCAGCAAGCACTTCCTCTGCTCTGAGGCCCATAAAAACCGTGGACTCAACCAGACTCCAGCAGAGGATGGAGATATGATGGGGAGAGTATGGGCCATCCAACTGCAGTTTAACATGCACATTTTTACCAACACTCTATTCATGTTTATTAGGTATTTTCTAGGAAAATACAAGCTTTCTCCCAAGTTCTTCTCTTTTTCTGAGCCCTCACAAGAGTCACCTTAGCATTCATGTTTCTAGTATGCACCTCAAAACTTTTCCTTGTCTACCCATTGCCCAGTTCCAAAGCTGCTTCCACGTGTTTAGGTATTTGTTACAGCAGTACCCACTTCTTGAGTCCAAAATCCATCTCAGTCTGCCTAGGCTGCTACAACAAACATCAGCCTCAGTGGCTTAAACAATGGAAATTCGTGTCACCACAGCTCTGGAGGCTGTGAAACCCACAGTAGGGCTCTGGCAGAATGAGGTTCCTGGGGAGGCTCCCTTCCTTACTTGCAGGTGGCTGCCCTTCTTGCTGTGTCCGCAATGGCAGAAAGGTAGTGTTCTCCCTCTCCTCCCATAAGGCCACAGTCCTTCGGGATTAGAGCTCCTTCCGTAGGACTTCATTTAACCTTAATTACCTCTGAACAACCCTATCTCCAGATACAGTCACATTGGGGTTAGAGCTTCAACATGAGTTTGGACAGAACAAAATTCAGTCTATACAACACATACTCTACAGAAAGATAAATTTTTTATAATTAAATTTTCAATTCATTTAAAATTTAACTCCACACATACTAGAAGAAAAGATGGGCAAATTATTCTATAACTTGGGATTAGGGGAAATTTTACTAGCCATAACTCAAAACCCAGAAGCAACGAGGGATAAATGTGACGAAATTAAAAAGACATACTGCATGGCTCAGAAAACAGGCTCAGTAGAAGCAAAAACAAACATACACACACATATTCAACATACATACACATATATCAGTGGTCATATGGACGTACATACTTTATACATACGTACAAACACATA